TATGTTATTTGTTGTTTTTCCCTTGCTGCTTTTAATATTTTTTTCTTTGTATTTAATTTTTGACAGTTTGATTAATATGTGTCTCTGTGTGTTTCTCTTTGGGTTTATTCTATATGGTACTCTTTGTGCTTCCTGGACTTGATTGACTATTTCCTTTCCCGTGTTAGGGAAGTTTTCAACTATAATCTTTTCAAATATTTTCTCAGACCCTTTCTTTTTCTCTTCTTCTTCTGGGACCCCTATAATTCAAATGTTGGTGCATTTAATGTTGTCCCGGAGATTTCTGAGACTGTCCTCAATTCTTTTCATTCTTGTTTCTTTATTCTGCTCCCTGGCAGTTATTTTCACCATTTTATCTTCCAGGTCACTTATCCGTACTTCTGCCTCAATTATTCTGCTATTGATTCCTTCTAGAGTAATTTTAATTTCAGTAATTGTGTTTTTCATCACTGTTCGTTTGCTCTTTAGTTCTTCTAGATCCTTGTTAAATGTTTCTTGTATTTTCTTCATCCTGTTTCCAAGATTTTGGATTATCTTTACTATCATTACTCTGAATCCTTTTTCAGGTAGGTTGCCTATTTTGTCTTCATTTATTTGGTCTTGTAAGTTTTTACCTTGCTCCATTGTTTGTAACATATATTTTTGTCCTTTGATTTTTTTTTGATGGGTGGTGCTGTGTTCCTGTCTTACTGGTTGTTTGGCCTGAGACATCCAGCACTGGAGTTTGCAGGCAGTTGGATTAGAGCTGGGTCTTGGTGCTGTGATTAGGACCTCCAGGAGGCCTCACTCTGATTAATATTCCATGGGGTCTGAGGTTCTCTGTTAGTCCAGTGGTTTGGACTCGGAGCTCCCATCACAGGAAATCGGGCCTGACCTGTCACCGGCCTGGGAACCAAGATCCCGCAAGCTTCGTGTTGTGGTTAAAAAAAAAAAAAAAAAAGAAAAGGAAGGAAAGAAAAAAAGAAAGGAGCAGTAGAATATCAAACTGTAAAAAACTAAATTAAATTAGAAAGATAAAAAATATTAAGAAAAATAAAACTATAATTTAAACAACTGCAACAAGGTAAAATAAAACCACAATAGAAAAAAGAAGAAAAAAAAAGGGGTGGGGTGAACAAGCCAAAAGGAGAGAATAATAACAAAGTATAAAGAATATAATAGGGCTTCCCTGGTGGCGCAGTGGTTGAGCATCCGCCTGCCGATGGGTGAACAAGCCAAAAGGAGAGAATAATAACAAAGTATAAAGAATATAATAGGGCTTCCCTGGTGGCGCAGTGGTTGAGCATCCGCCTGCCGATGCAGGGGACACGGGTTCGTGCCCCGGTCCGGGAAGATCCCACATGCCGCGGAGCAGCTGTGCCCGTGAGCCATGGCCGCTGGGCCTGCGCGTCCAGAGCCTGTGCTCCGCAACCGGAGAGGCCACAACAGTGAGAGGCCCGCGTAACGCAAAAAAACAAAAAACAAAACGAAACAAAAGAATCAACAACAATGAATCAACAAGGTGAAACAGAACCCCAATCTAAAAGAGGAAAAAAGAAAGAAAGAAAAAAAAGAAAAGCCTTGGCTATGGGGGCGGAGTTTAGGTGGTGGTGGAACTTAGGCAGGGGTGGAGTTTAGGGTGGGGCAGGATATAGGTGAGTCGGGGGGTGACATTTGGGTGTGGGGCAGGGCCTAGGCTCCAGAACCCACGCAGCCGTAAAAGGCCTTGGGGGTGGGGCCTCAATGGGGCAGTGTTTAAACATGGGGCGGGCCTTCTGCTTAGGACCTGCACGGGAAGGAGAGAGGCTGCACGTGGAAAGGAGGGCCTCTGAAGTGTGGCGTTCTGGAGTTTGGAGGTAGGGCCCTTAGTGAGGGTGTATGGGTGGGGTTTAGGCCCAGCGTTTTGGACGGTGTCTCTGAGTGTAGAGGTGGGGCCTTTGGTGGGGGTGTAGGGGTGGGGCTTGGGTTCTGCACGGCAGGAGGGAGGCTCTGAGGGCAGAGGATTAGGCCCAGGAGCCCAGTAGACCCCCTGGTGCCTAAGTGGACAGAGAAGGTGCTGGCCCGGTTCCCTTCCGTTCCTTTGTGCCCCTCCCCCATTGTCTCCCCCAGGGTCCCCTCTGCTGCTGATGGACCCCTAACCTTGGGTGGGTCCTGTTGGGTGTACCAACTCCTCCCCTCCCTCAGCCACCACTCAGGGTTGCCAGTCCCAGAGGTCCAGCCTTTACTTTTGCTCCCCCTTCCCTCCCTCCGACTCCCGCAGGCCCGTGCGGCTGTAGGGGGCCTCAGTGGGCATAAGATCAGGCCTGGCATCTCAGCAGGTTCCCGGGGGCCCAAGTGGGTAGGAGAAACCTGGCCATGCTCCCTTTTGATCCTCTGCCCTCCCAATGCTCACCCAGTTTCCCCCTTCAGGCATGGGATCCCTTCCCCCAGCCTCCCCTCAGGGATGCCAGTCCCCTCCCTTCTCCACTTCTCTTCCCCCTTCACTCCCTCCAATGCCCCACGTCCTACCTGGTTGCTGGGGGTTCCTCCCGTCCCCTTAGGTGTCCGTGGTCCCCCACCGGTGCCTGGTAGGTACCCTAGTTGTGCGAAGACGCGAATTCTGCCTCCTCTTAGTATGCCATCTTGACTCTGCCCCCTATGAACCGATTTATTACTGGTTGATATCGCCATTATTTTTTTTATTCTGTTGACTTAAGGAGGTCACACCTCTCTCAGAAAGGTCCAAAAATTGAGAAATCTAACAAAGACAAAATTCCACACTACCATTCAAGCTTCTAAATAAGTTTTAAAATATTCATGGTTTTCCTGTGTGGACCATTGAAATAAATCCTTATTCCGCAGTTTTTAACCCATAACTTCTCTCTTTAGGATCACATTTGATGTATCTAGTATCATATTTTCTCTGTGTGACCTACTTTATGTTCGAATTAGTGTCTTTTCCAGAATATGGTCACCTATCCCTCTGGTTGGATACCTCACCGTTTTTGACATTTTTTTAAATACACTAGAATGAGCTTTTCTCTTGGGAGTAACAATGTCTATTGTCTACCTATGTTTGCTTGACTTCTTGAATTTGAAATTAAATGGGGGTTTTTTGTAGAGTAATGAAGTATTTTCCCTTTTCATCAGGTTTTATGGCACTTGGACATCTTCAGACGTAGCTTTAGGCAGCTTACAACTCACAAATGCATGGGAGATTCCTGCATCTTTTGTGCTCTCAAGGTAAATACTTCAAATTTGTTTCTTCTCACTATCATTAGGTTAATGATCAATATTAGGGTGGTTTGCTTATTCAGGTTGATGCTAAAGAATTTATTACTGCATTATTTGCATGTGGTTTAGTACAAAGGATAAGTATGATTAGTTTTGCTTGTTTCAAAGAACTACTACTTGGTTTAGGTATTCTGTTTCTCTGAACCTTTTGCCCGCACAACTCTATTTAATGTGATTGGATACTATTCAAACTTGCTTAGACTTTGAGTATTTATCCGAAAAGCTAACACTAAATTTTCGTTTTGAAAGAATAAACAACCAACTGTTTTTCATGGAATTAACTATTGTCTATTAAAGCTAAATTTAGCAACAAACTCTTTCTATTAAGAAAAGCCAGGGAGCTTCCCTGGAGGCACAGTGGTTGAGAATCTGCCTGCCAGTGCAGGAGACATGGGTTCGAGCCCTGGTCTGGGAAGATCCTACATGCCACGGAGGGACTAAATCTGTGTGCCACAACTACTGAGACACACTGAGCCTGTGTGCCACAACTACTGAAGCCTGTGCGCCTAGATCCTGTGCTCCGCAACAAGAGAAGCCACTGCAATGAGAAGCCTGCGCACCACAATGAACAGTAGCCTCCGCTCGCCATAACTAGAGAAAGCCCGCGTGCAGCAACGAAGACCCAACACAGCCAAAAAGAAAAAGAAAAAAATCTATTGAAAAAAGAAAATCCAGGGCTTCCCTGGTGGCGCAGTGGTTGACAATCCGTCTGTCGATGCAGGGGACACAGGTTTGTGCCCTGGTCCGGGAGAATCCCACATGCCGCAGAGCAGCTGTGCCCGTGAGCCATGGCCGCTGAGCCTACGCGTCCGGAGCCTGTGCTCTACAACGGGAGAGGCCACAGCAGTGAGAGGCCCGCATACCACCAAAAACAAACAACAACAACAACAACAACAACAAAAAGAAAATCCAGTACTAAAATTTTCCCATTTTCCCATTCCCTAATATTTCCTATTATCACATGTAATAATCAATAGGTTCTTTATATCAGTTGTGTACCCCATTATCTGACTCCAAGTTTTTCATTTCTGAATAAAATGAAACTGAGGATTCATTTAGAGACAAATAAAATGCCCTAATGCGAGAGAGTTCTCTTTAGGTAAGTTGCTAAAGAGAAAGAACTAGGATGTGGAAGGGCCCATTCTGTATTACTTTTCCAACACTTATCCTTGCTGTTTTCTTGGTCCTGATATACAATGGGTTATTTATGGTTGGATGAGTATGCCTAAGTTCTGAGTAAGCTTCTAGAGTCATTTTTCAGTCTCATGAAGCCTGAATTCTTGGTTTGTCACAGGGATGCTTGGTTGTGATCATTATTAATTTAGTTGCTTTTACACCTGAGAGCAGGAATTGTGACCAAAAAATCCAGGAGAATTTCGCAGTTAAATTTGCAACAACTGACTCAAAACAGTTTTTTGACCAACATCAGTTTGAAGTTTTAGTCCATGGTAGGCAGATATTTCTGGAAAGAGATAACTGAGTCTTCTGAACTTTTTGCCACTAGGGTCACAAGTATCTTTTTTTTTTCCACCCTTTGTTTGGAACCATTATAACTTTTAGCAAAATATAGAATATAAATTATTGGTTAATAATTAAAAAAGAGTCATGTACCACAATGTTCATTGCAGCTCTATTTACAGTAGCCAGGACATGGAAGCAACCTAAGTGTCCATCAACAGATGAATGGATAAAGAAGATGTGGCACATATATACAATGGAATATTACTCAGCCATAAAAAGAAGCGAAATTGGGCT